CTGGTGCCTTGATCTTGGACTTGCCAGCCTCCAAAACAGTGAGAAATAAACTGCTGTTGTCTATAAGTCACGCAGTTTATGGCATTTTGTTATAGCAGGCCAAAAGGCCTAAGACACTATCCATTAAGTATGAAGAAATAAACTATGATACATAAGCATGTATTGGTTTGGCCAAAAGGTCCGTTCAGGTTTTTTCCACATGATGTAACAAACATACATTTGGGAAAAACCAAAATGAACATTTTGGCCAACTGAATGTTAAAACAATAGATACAGATCGCTATGTTATACTGCAAAGTGAATAAGTAAATCACAAAATAATACTTAAGTAAAAAAGAAAGATATATTTATGCTGTGGTACAAGAGAGTTTAATTTGGTCTAGACTCAAATGTTGAAAGCAATGGCACCCCACTCCAGTACTCTTGCCTGGAAAATCCCATGGATGGAGGAGCCTGGTAGGCTGCGATCCATGGGGTCGCTAAGAGTCGGACATGACTGAGTGATTTCACTTTCACTTTTCACTTTCACGCATTGGAGAAGGAAATGGCGACCCACTCCAGTGTTCTTGCCTGGAGAGTCCCAGGGACGGGGGAGCCTGGTGGGCTGCCGTCTATGGGGTCGCATAGAGTCGGACACAACTGAAGCGACTTAGCAGCAGCAGACTCAAATGTGAGTCTGATGCTAGTTTCAAGACTTGCTAGCTGGCACTGTTTTTTAGCAGTCTATAGTGGGCAGGCTACAACACTTTCTCAGCCTCAATTTCCACATTTTGCTGTGGCAGATACTTTCATTTCAAGGGCTGTTGTAAAATAAATGGCACAATCCAAGACACTGTAGATGTCTAATAATGGCAGTTATTTTTATGGCCCTACTCTAACTGTAAAAAATAAATTCTCTGGTACCATTTAAGAGTCAGAAAAAAGGATGTAAGAAATTGTCCCTATAGAACTTCAGGTTCTTATAACACATAACTCTGGTGATAGGTAAAAAAGAAGGCTTAGAAAAAAAAAAATAACACATCCATAATGATAAAAACATTTCATATTATTATAAGCAAATACATGTACTATGCATATAATCCATACATGATATATTCTATTATATCCTAAAACATTCAAACGATAAGGTTGAAAAGAAACAACATATAGCTTTTTGAGGCAATATGGAGAAATATATCCAAATACACATAGTGAGTTTGCTGCTGCTAAGTCACTTCAGTCGTGTCTGACTCTGTGCGAACCCAGAGATGGCAGCCCACCAGGTTCCCCCGTCCCTGGGATTCTCCAGGCAAGAACACTGGAGTGGGTTGCCATTTCCTTCTCCAGGGGATCTTCCCGACCCAGGGATTGAACCCGGTCTCCAGCATTGCAGACAGACGCTTTACCATCTGAGCCACCAGGGAAGCCCAATAATGAGTTTAGATAACCATAAATATGGCCCACAGAAAGGACCAACTTGAAAAATCATTTTATGATTCTTTCTCCTGTTGTGAATTAAGGCTATGGTTAAGCATACTAAAATGTTCTGATAGCCAAGAAACTTCCACAACTAACCTTTAGGAAAATAAACTTAGGATCCTGGAAAGCTGTTCATTTCATATTTCAAGTTTTGTATTTTCAAGTCACCCTTTTTGGAAACACACTGTCATTAAAATTCTAGCTTTCCTTTATCTATCTTACCACTTAACCATTTATTAGTGATCTAATTTTTGTCTCTTTCAACCTTGTGGACTTGAGGCCTAAATATCTCATCTATAAAAAGAATTCACCATTTATAGACTTAGTTATACTAAATTTCAAGTTAACATTTCCACTTATAGATATTCTACTTTAAAATCTGTTTCAATTTTTCTCCCACTAAAGATTTAATACTTATCTATTTTTCGCTAAACGTTTTCAGCAAAATACTTATAAAGAGAAATATGGCAAGATCAAAGAATAAAACCTGTCAAATTTAAAAACACAGAGGACACAGACCACATAATACAGACCATCTGTAGAGTGAGCACAGCAGCGCAGTGCGGACAGGACAGTGGGAGGGGGCCTGTGTTTAAGAACATACACTTGGTTAAGATGACTTTCTTTTGTTTTACTGAGGGTGAATAACAATGCAAAGGACGTCCTCAAGTTCAAGGATATAGTGAGTGGTTGAGAAAAATAAATTACTTAACTGAAATGCTGGGCTCGGTAAAGCACTAGCTGGAAATAAGATTGCTGGGAAAAATATCAATAACCTCAAATATGCAGATGACACCACATTTATGGCAGAAAGTGAAGAACTAAAGAGCCTCTTGATGAAAGTGAAAGAGGACAGTGAAAAAGCTGGCTTAAAACTCAACATTCAGAAAACTAAGATCATGGCATCTGGTCCCATCACTTCATGGCAAATAGATGGGGAAACAATGGAAACAGTGATAGACTTTATTTTGGGGGGCTCCAAAATCACTGCAGATGATGACTGCAGCCATGAAATTAAAAGACACTTGCTCCTTGGAAGAAAAGCTATGACCAACCTAGACAGCATACTAAAAAGCAGAGACATTACTTTGCCAACAAAGATCCATCTCGTCAAAGCTATGGTTTTTCCAGAAGTCATGTATGGATGTGAGAGTTGGACTACAAGGAAAGCTGAGCACTGAAGAATTGATGCTTTTGAACTGTTGGTGTTGGAGAAGACTCTTGAGAGTCCCTTGGACAGCAAGAAGATCCAACCAGTCCATCCTAAAGGAAACTAGTCTTGAATATTCATTGGAAGGATTGATGCTGAAGCTGAAACTCCAATACTCTGGCCACCTGATGCGAAGAACTGACTCATTTTGAAAAGACCGTGATACTGGGAATGATTGAAGGTGGGAGCAAAAGGGAATGACAGAGGATGAGATAGTTGGACAGCATTCACTGACTCAATGGACATGAGTTTGAGTAAGCTCTGGGAATTGGTGATGGACAGGGAAGCCTGGCGTTCTGTGGTTCATTGGGGTTGCAAAGAGTCAGACACAATTGAATGACTGAACTGATACTGAAATAAGTAAAAACATAAAGGAGTGGCAGAAATAATATTATTATCAGCCAAAAAACAAGAGATGAACATTAAAATGTTACTTGTCAATGCTCAATAGCATTAAAAAAAAATAAAACAAATGATGCTCTTTGTACTATTAAGTAATACTTAAGCTTTCTTTAAAAACTAAAATGAAAGTAGAAAAGTAAAACTACTTAAAAAAAAAACAGAAAAAATTAACTTAAAAAATTTTAATTCAGTGACTTTCTCCTACCCTTAATTTAGCACTTTAGGATGGTAGGCCTGAGTAACTTAGGATCATACACAATCTGGCCAAAAACATCAACTCAATCAAAAGTTGTTGATATATTTTAATTTGTTAAAAGTTTTTTGTCATTACTGCCTTAACTGAAGTCACATGTTCCATTTACTACTGCTCTTGCCTGACATGGAAAAGTGAAATATTTTCCATGTATATGTTGGCTGTTCCTCATGTTATCTTCAGCTGGGATCATCTCATGAGGTTATTTTTTTTTTCTGACACTTTCAGTAATTACCTTGAATTCTATTGGGTAATACTGAATTTCATTTATAATAATAAACCATATTTTTTAAAGTAATAAACATCATAATAAAGCTTTTATAGCAAAGACTGAGAGAAAAATTAATGATCTAATTACCTACAAAGAGCTTCCATTGTCTGTGGGGCCAGTTCTCAATAAACAATGTTTTGGTTGCAAGAATAACTGAATAGAAGACAACATCATATTAACATGCAAACATAATAGGGCCAACCCACTGGAACTGAAAGTAGGAAGCCTCAGGATATGACTGTTACCACCAAGGATCATTTTATGCAAATTCCTTCAGTTCAATCTGTTACCAACCAACTCTAAAAATTATACCAGAACCAAATGAACCACTTAGATACAGATAAAACTGGATTACAGTTGATCCCTGAACACCAAGGGTTTGAACTGCAATGGCATACCGACATGCAGATTTTGTTCAACAGTAAATACTACGGTACTTAATAAATACTAAATACTAAGTACTAGTAAATAGTAAATACTACACAATCCATAGTTGGTTGACTCCACTGAAGTTAACAGGGATGATAAGGAGGAACAATGAAAATGTTATAAATTATACGTGGATTTTTTTTATTGCAGGGAGTATAGGTGCCCCAAACCCTCAAGCTGTTCAAAGGTCAACTGTACTTCATTTTACCATGTTTCAATTGGAGCAGTAAGGGAAGCCACACAAAAAAACACGGTTGGTGATCCCTACAATGACAGTAGAGATATCACATTTTGGCAAATTCTCTAAAATTCTTCCGTCAATGACAGTTAAAGATATACTAAAGTCTTATTCCTTGGATTTCAATTAGCATACATACCTACTAGCTAAATATGTGTAGTTAACTTTAAAACATTAATGTAGAGAATTAAGATTATGATTCAGTCACGTAGTTATTATTTTAAATATGTGCAATCATCTGTCTCAAATAGAGTAATTTTAGAGTTAAACTTTCACAGTCTAGAAACTTTAGAAAATAAATCAATATTTTTCTTTTACAGTTTAAGCACTTAACATCCTCCAATCATTTTCTAATGGTTCAACTTAATTTCACACTAGGTAACAGTACATAAATGATACCTGGAGTGAGTGATCACAGGAGAGGAAATTTGACCAATTTGAAATAATTATTAATATACTTAAAAGTATACATAATTTAACTCATAAAGTGGCACATAAATTTCTTAAAAAGTCTTACAAAATCTGCCTGCATTCTGTAAGTGTAGCAATGATAGGAGGGCCATTTTTTGATAGATGTAATACTTTTTTCTGATTTAAATTCATAAGAAAGTTTCAAATTTTCACTTTAAAATTTTACAGTAAATTACTATTCAGTCAATTCAATATTTATAGTCAAGTACTGTGTAATTAGTTATCTGAAAAAAAATCATGAAGGTTTACAGAAGTTATTATCACTTACCAGCTGCTCTGATTTTACCCCATACAACTGGATGGTCTTTGCCACATTTTTTGATACAGCTAATGTGAGGTTTGAATCAACAGCAGCTACGTTTAGTTCACTGAAGAAAACAAAAACGGCTTTACCATTACAGTTTATCAACAAAGACAAGTATATGAACTTAAACCCACTAAACAACAAGGTGATTCTTTTTATAGATTTCCCTGGTTGCCTCCAAGAATTGATCGGATTATTTCATTTTCCCCTAAATTCAGCATTAGGAAAAAGTGCCCTGAGATGGTTTGGTTAAAGAACAGTTTCTCATTAATAAAAGCATGTCATGTGTGGGTTCAGGCTGTGATTAAGAAGAGTAAATTGTGTACAGATTTTTCAAGTAGCACTTTTGTTCATACTGATAAGTACAATTAGAGACACTGCATATCACAGACATCTGCAAGGAAATGACAGCTCTTGAATGGAAATGATGACCTTGGAAGGACACAGGCTAAAAATATAAATTACACGATATATCAAGATACTAAGTTTCTGTAGAAATTATGCCAATTCATGTTATTTTGATAGTGTAGCTTTTTTTATATCAAAAGCACAACAAGGATTTAAGTGGAAATTTAAAAAATTTAGACTCCTAAAGTATTTCTTTGCCATGCTTATTTTCAATTTTTTACACTGGATTATTTGGAACACTTCAGCTGACTGCTCGAAAAAAAGTAATTATAAAGAGCATGTAAAGTATACCAGCAGTTTAAAATGGCATGAAAATGCATATACAAGTAGAAAGCAAGAAAAGTAATTATTGTCTCTGAAGTAGCGGAAAGAATCTTGGTATTTCCCAGATTCCCTTTATGAAGAAAGCAAAAGACTTTAACATTAGTGCTTACTATGTGCATCAAAAATGCCCCTTCATTTAATAGTGAGACATAATCTTATTAACCCTGGTATTCACATTCTATTGAACAGTGGCATAAGTATGTTTTTTCAAGTCCCACCTTACAACTGATCAGTGTGGTCAAGTTGCACAGGGGAAAAGGAGTTACTTCTTTAATATTTCCATAAAGGTCAGAGATCAAGCTGAATTCATGACTGGTTTGATCACTACTATACTAAACAAATAATGGAGACAAAATCAGGGTTTAACAATCCAGAGTCAGGCTTTTGAAAGTCAAAGTAACTCTAGAGAGATTTGGATCAAGATTCTGGGCTATCTCAACACTGTACACATAGATGTGCTTCTGCAGATTATACCTGTGGCTTTCTAGTCTTACTCTCACATGCCTCAGAATCATTATCTGATGTATAATCTAAAAGAATTTAGACTTCTATACCCTGGTCCTATATGACCTAACAACTATTTTCACTCATAAAATGTTCACCTATAAATGTAGACTTACTGTTATGACAACTTATATACTATGACAGGAACCGAGAGTCTCAATTGCAGACTGGGTCACCTGGGTGACCATAAAATGTCTAAAGACAACAGTATAACTACATTGTCTGCAAGCATTCAGGTGGCACCTCTGCTAGGATATCTTCCCTTTTAGGAGTTTTAAAAGCTGTCACATTCAACTTAGAAAGCTTAAAATAGCAAACACAAGTAGACTAATCAGGATTATGATACTTGTACACCATGATGTACTTTCTGGATTTAAGATTAAAAAAAAAATTACTCTCCACGCTTTAGCTTCTCAACCTGTAAAATCATTTTTATATTTACTGTCCTATGTAATACCAGAAATTTACTATGGCATAAAGAATTAGGTTGGTTTACTCTGCATCCTTGACAAGATAAAGAATAATTATAACTGACTATTTTTAGACTGTATTTAAATGGTTTTATTAATTGGAATCTCAAGTACTTAGGACACGTGCACTCATTCACTGCAAAACTCTTGATTTAATTGCTGGACTAATTACTTGAACAACTAAAGATAAACTTAAAATGTACTGCTATCAGACATCACTAACAAATGTGGTGGGTATTTTATGGCAAGCCATTATATAAAAACACATACCTTGCTATAGTTTTAATGATACCTTCAAGTTCATCAGCAGAAGGAGGATTACGACCACCAGGGGGAAAAACCAAGTTGATAGGATCGAAGAGTCGAGATAATGATTTTGATAGATACGCAGCCTCGAAGGGTTGTAGTGAGTCTTTCAAAGCCTTTTCTGGACTGTGGGGACAAAGTTTATTAAAAAATGAACTTAAATTATACAAGTGTTTAACTTAAATTAAACACTATGGTATCAGGTTGTAAATACCTTTCTTAACAATATATCCTCCATAAGACTCAAGAAAAAGGGAGATATATATATATATATGTATATATATATATATACACTTATGACTGATTCACACTGTTGTAAAATAGAAACCAACACAACATTGTAAATTATCCTCCAATTAAAAATAAAAATAAATTAGAAACACATCTCCTCTAAAGAAGGTAACTTTATATGGACAAAAGAAAATTTGTTTTAAAAATGTATAAAAAAATGTATAAATACATTTATATACATTTGATAGTTAAAAGTTTATTCACAATTAAACATTTTAATTTACACATAATTCCTGGGTATAAATGTAAAATAATATGCCCCAGTACCTACTGTAGCAAGTTTGTCACTTGAAACTATGAGTAACACTGTAAAATCTTGTTAATTCTAATGGGGCCATGTCTTCACTTAGCATGTTTCTACACAACATACAAGAGAGGCAAGTCTGCAAAGACTAGCTCCCACCAGTTCGACCCTTTTCACACATAGATGCACTCTCATAAGCTCAGCATCTGAGAGGGAAGTATACAAATATAGGTTTTTATCAGCCTTCTGATACCAAAACTGATAGTAAGAAGAATGAGGATAAAATAAAAAGTGTCTGTATAAGTCCCACAAAATCACGAAAATCTCCCAACTGGAGTTCTTACTTTTATATATTCTTCACAAACTAAAATTTAATCTACTAAACACTTCTTTCTCCCCCAGACCTCCAATGTTTTTAGTTATTTTTGTTGATTTTCATTTAGTTGTTCAATTATTGGACCATATATTTTTACCTCTGAAAATCATCAAATGTCTATAACCATATAATTAACTCTGTGTATTCTCATATCACCCCTGACTATGATCCTTCTACTAATCTTTCCATTATCTTAAAACACACACACACACACAAATCTCCCTAAATTCATCTTAAATGTTCATCTTGAAAACATCTGACCTGCTCCTTTGGTATCAGAAACTTGGCTTTCTCCTTTTCCACCCTTGTTGGTCAAATGACAAGACCTAGAGGTCAGAACGCTCTTGGCTCCTACATCATAATTCCACAGTTATCTCTCAACACTTTCTCATTCATTTTAAGTATTTCAGTCAACACATAGTTCCTGAGAATCCTATGTACCAGCCCCTGTTAAGTGCTAAGAAGTAAGAGATGAAATGGGCTTTACAGCCCAGTGAAGAAATGTGCAGGTGGAGTGCTAACTATAATAATTTTTATAATAGATGATGAAAGAGCTCAGTAGGAACAGGGAAGAACTAGTGCCTAAATCTGTCTGAGTCAATCCTCTACTGAGGTCCACACCAGCTATTTAAACGTCTTCCCTAATTCTGCTCTGATTATTTACTGCCCTTAAGAAGCCTCTTCCTTCTTCCACAGAAATTTCAGCACTAAATTATAAGTACTGACATTTTTCCTGTTCTCCAAGGATTCGCCCAGAAGGTCCTACAGTTTCACTCCAGAAACAAAGCTGCCAGGCCTAGGTGGCTATCTGCCAGCAGCGGATCTGTGAGTGGCCGCACAGGAGCAGCAGCTCTCTGCTCTGTGTTTGAGAGGCTGGCTGAGAGGGAGAGCAAGGCCAAGGCCTGCGGCTGCTGCAGGAAACCAACCCACTGGCACAGAGATGTGACAGAAGAACAATGTGACAGGGTCCAGCCTCAGGTGGAAGCAGAAGCCGAGCCTCACCCTAGCCCTGCTACCAAGGCAGCCTGCCTCCCCTGCTCCATACCCTATTCCAACCTGTTAGTTTTGGAAAAACTGAAGAACTAGGCATGGGGGGTGTAGGATCCTTGGTGATTATGTCAAAACAGACAGCTTTTCTAAAACTTATCCTGTGCCTGCATGCATGCTAAATCACTTCAGTTGTGTCAGACTCTTTGTGACCCTATGGACTGTAGCCCACCAGGCTCCCCTGTCCAATGGATTCTCCGGGCAAGAACACTGGAGTAGGCTGCCACTCCCTTCTCCAGGGGAATCATCCCGATCCAGGGATCAAACCCGTGTCTCCTGCATTTCAGGATTCTTAACCACTGAGCCACCCGAGAAGCCTGTCCTGTACTAGACGTCTACTTTTATTTTAGCTTTGTTACAAAGTTTCCATATTGGGAGTCATCATTTTGAACTGCTCCACCTCTAAGGTCTCCAAGCTTGAAGACAACTTGCCATACCTCCACTTGCCCCTACCCGCTTCCCTCCTACAGATTCTCTTTAATGTGTACAATTTGCCAGGTACTTCCTGGAAGTGAGGAATGCAGCAATGAAGCTACAAAAAATGTCCTGCCCTCTTAAAGAGACGACACACAAAAGAAGAAATAAAACTTTTAAATGACTTAACTGTGGAATATAGCGAAGAGTAATAAATTCTAAGAGAAGAAGGAAGCAAAGAAGCCAGACAGCAGTTTTTATCCAACTTTAGACAGAGTGAGGCAAGGCAAGGCTTCCTGGGAAGATATGAGGAAAAAGGAGGGAGCAAGTTACACAGATTTCCAGAGTAGGCACTTTTACGAGGAGAGAAGTACAAAGGCCCTGAGAGGGGACTTATACCTGGCTGAGACTGCCAAAGAGTGAGAGGAGCAGAGCACTTAAGTGACAGGAGAACAGTACAAAATGAGGTCTAAGAGCAAACAGATGGAACAAAACATGCTGGGTTTTGTATATCAATAAAAGTGCTAGATTTTACTCAAAAGAAAGTGCTCTTTGACTGACTGTGATCAGTGCTGTGAAATCCTTTCCTGTGCTCATCCTCCATCAGCCCAGCATTTCAAGGTGCTCTCACGAGCATCCTGATTTTTCTAATTTACCTTCCTTTCAAAACTGTAAGAAATATCTCATTTAGATGGTCTCTGTACCTGCTGCTAAGCTGCCCAAGCATTCCAGAGAAAAAGGAAATTGTTTCTATTGAACACTGATACAAACCCCTTGATTTCAAGAGACCTGAAGCTCAAGGTATTAAAACCCTTCTTTGCAGTCCTTCAACTTCTACAGCGGACCATTTGTTTCTACACGAAGACCAAAACTACTGCAATAATCCTTATCAACTTGATACCAGCTTTTCTTTTTCCTTTGTAATTTCATTTACATCTGATTTTCTTCTTATCCCAAAGAAAAAGTAGCTTTATTCCTTTGTTGATATCAAAACCTCTCAGATGAATTGAACCTACCTCCTCCTTTCCTATTCTTTTTTAGAAAACTGTTTTATTAAGATTTACATTCAATTCAACCATTTAAAGTGTATAATTTGAAGGTTTTCAGTATATTCATGGGTATGCACCACCATCACCATGCTCAAACCTAGAACATTTTTATCATCTTCAAAAGAAACCTCATACCCTTCAGCTTTAAAACCTTTACCCTCCTCACCCCATTGCTAGCTCTATGCAACCACCAATAGGCTTTATATCTCTAGCGACGTGCTGTTCTTGATTTTCATATGGATAGGATCATACAGTATATGCATTTGTATCTGGCCTTTTTCACTTAGCATAACTTTTTCAAAGTTCAGGCATGCTGTAACAAGTGTTAGTCCTTCACTCCTTTTTATGGCTGAATAGTATTCCACTGTGTGGATATATCACATTTGGTTATCCATTTGTCTGCTGGTGGACATATGGCTTGTTTCTATCTTTTGGTAACTATGAATACTGCTATAAACATTCATTAAAAATTGTGTGTGAACATACTTTAAAAAATTCACTTTATGTGCCTTGTTTTTATTGTGATAATATACATAACACATGAGTATTATGCACAATAAGGAAGCACCCACATATTGATCTCATTTGTCTGACACCTGGCTTCAGCTCACTGGCAGCTGAGAGCAGCATGAGGAATGCTGCAGTGCTGTTCTTCTTAGGCAGAAAGCCCTCTGGTTGGGCATGGTGGGAGAGGGAGCCCTTGGTTCTTGGCTGCCCCAATTTGGAGTGGACATTGTGCCTTGCTGAGCTGGGAAGAGGAAGGAAGGAAACAACTGTCTTGGTTTTAGCATCACAGACTCTAATGAAATTCTTTCTACCAAATTTTAACTTTTTTGCATTGATGATTTTTCACTTACTGTTTGCTTTTAAAATCATTTCCAGAGGCATTGAGTTGTTTGGTTTTTGTTGTAATAGTTTTCACCAGATTCATTGGGGATGGATCAGCAGAGTGGGGAGTGCTGTCATCCCAGAAGTCAATCTCCTCCCATTCTGCCTTTCATCAATTCTAATAATGCTCTTGTATCCACCATTCCACACTTAGGCCTTGAACCACCTTTTTTTGCTATAGCAAGAGGTCAATTCTCAGTCCTAAGCTTCTTCAGCTTTTCAACAGCATGTGACACAGTTAACCATTCTTCCTCTGACTTAAATGAACTCATTCCTTAGAGTTCCACACAACTGTGAGTTGTCCTCCTATCTTACCTTTTTTTTTCTGTCTCAGTCCTGCAGGCTGCCAATCCTCCAATAAAGTTATAAATGCTGGAGTGCATATGTTGGGCCAAAGTTTCCTTTTCTCTTTACGTATATCTTCCTTATAGAATCTCCTGCAGACTCATGATTTTTAAAGATCTGCATAGTGATGATTCTCAAATATGCATTTCTAGTCCTGATTCACAGTCAACTACCTTTTCAAAAAGTCTATAACATCTCCATTTGCATCTTTGATTCAACAGTTTCAAAAGAAAAACGTTTAACACTACTTCATGAGACAATGGCTTCCAATCTTTGGTCTCCTCCCAACCTTTGGTCTCCTCCCAACCTGTCCACACATATCCTTGATTCTTCTTTTCCTCTCAAATCCAATTCTACTAGCAAGTATATCTCAAATCAATCTAACCAGTTCTCACCACTTCATCCACTCATCTTGTTTTAGGCCATTGTTATTTCTTGTCTGGATAAACAAAATAGCTTCCATTTCCCACTTCTCTTTCCCTGTGGTGATGCTTTCCCTAGTTGTCCACATTGAAGCCCTAGTGTTAATTTTAAAGCATTTATCAGTTCGCATCATTCCTCTGTTTAAAAGCAATGGTTTCTACTGTTTTGAATAAACTCCAAATCCCATACCATAATGAATAAAGTCTTACATGATCTTACACTTTCCTCCCTCTTTGAGCCAATTTCATACCCACCCCCTCCCTCTTTCACTGTGTTCCAGCTTTCTATTCCTCAACATCTCCATCTTAGTTTTCTCAAAGACTCTACATCTGCTGTTCTCTCCGCCTGCAGAAATCTTACTCCAAATTTTCCACGGCGGACTTCTTACCGAGGTCTTGAGTCAAAGTTATCTTCTCATAGAGGTCTTTCCTCACCACCTTATATAAGGTGCTCTATCATGTTGTCTTGTCTTTTTTTTTTGGTGGGGGGGCGGGGGTGGGGGCGTGAGGGAGCATGGTTGTAGGACCTTAGTTCCCCAACCAGGGATTATAGCCAGGCTCCAGCAGTGAAAGCACGGAGTCATAACAACTGGACCATCAGGGAATTCCCTTGTTTTATTTTCTTCATAATAAGAACAGCTCTCAAATTCAGCATGAATACTTAAAAGACGAAGAATGCTAACCTGGTTATTTGTGCCTTGATTCTACTCAGATTCTTCCAAGATCTTGATCATTACCTGTTGCTTTCTCCAATGGCTACTTCTATCTATCTATCTATCTTCTATCTTCTATCTCTCAGTTTTCCCTCTATAATAAAAAACAACAAAAAAACCTTCCTTTGGCTCAGCTACCATGGTCAAATTTATGTTTGACTCTTTGCCTCACTCCTCAAAAGAATATGTAAAACATAATTGTTCCTTACTATTCTCATTATTTTTTGGTTTCTTAGGGTACAGGTCACAGCTCCTCTTCCACATCAACTACTTTACTGAAGTTAGTCTCCAAAATGTGACAATGACAACCCACTAGTCAAAATAAAAGGTTTTTTTCATTCTGATTTTTTTCTCTACATTGAATTTACTGTCTTTCCTCTACCCCCATGAGTAACATATGCTCATTTTAAATAAAAGCAGGAATACAAAACAAAAACTCTACCTATTGGAGACAAAGCATTACTACTTTTTGCTATGTATGTTTCCAGAGCTTTTCAGTATAAGCATACGAATTTAAAAATAAAACTAAGCCAGGAATAGAATGGTACTATATATTTTAGTTCATATACTTAAAAAAAAAAAAACAAAAAACTTTAACATACTGGACTGGCCAAAAAGCATGTTCTGGTTTACTTCATGTTTAATGTTAAAGAGTAACTGAAGAGAACGAAGTCCCTTCTATCACTTCAGCCTACTCTTATGCCACTTACTCTACCAGTCAAAACTTATACAATCTGTATTTTACCAGTCAGAACTTCTTACTACAGTGGATACAATTCAACTATAAGTATTCAGGAAAAAAAAAAGTTGAAACAAACATTAAAAAAGCACTCATAAATCTATGATTTTTCTTACAAGGTAGGTGATAAGAATCTGAGTCAATCTCATCACAATAAATGATTCAAGTGTTTCCAGGAAGTGTGCAAACCAATCAACTGATTTGGTACTTACAGAGAAATATGAAAACAGTACTTCTTCTCAATTTAGGAGGAAAGCTGGCAGGTTTAAACTTATCGAGTTGGTACACTGTTTTCCAATGTGGCTTATAAATATCACTACATATACTATACTTCATGACTCATCTAAGAGACTTTCAGGTTCAATTTCGACAGCACTTAGTTCTTGCCCACCAGACTGAGAACCTATCCCAGCATAAGGTTTGTTTCCACTATAGTTCCTGAACATACCAGTTCCTTTTGCATCACATTTATGCCAGTGGCCTATCAATAATGATGCTGTATAATTACAGATACAGTATCAACTGAAGGACACTGGCTACACATGCTCATCTCTCAGCTTCTATTCACCGTACTTGGTGATATCCTTTACGACAGATTCTCAGTAGGAATCAGGCTGCTCAACGAAGGAGAAAAGTTCAACTCCTTAAGTTTAAAGTGTTGTGAAATCTTTTAAGGTAAATAAATAAATAATAATCATTAAAAATATTGAGAAAGATAAACATTTCCCAAATGTTTAACTTGTAATAAAAATAAAGGAAAAAATCCTTAACATGCCAACAAACAGATTTGATTACACAAACATACTCATAATCTGGCTTTTTTGGTATGAATACATCTTGTGTATCATCTTCTATGTGTTGTAAGTCAGCATAGAGGTCTGCAGTTCCACTTGAATTAAAATTTCCTTGAATATTTTGGCTGTATTGTTGAAGACGCTTCCATAAGTCATTATAAAGCCGCAATAATTTTGGGTATTCTCCTTCAAATGCCTGTTTCAAAAACATAGAAGCTGCCAAGCAAAACAAGAAAATGGATTAGATAAATGATAAAACAATAAAATGTAGCAAATAAAGTTTCTTTTGTACATGAAAACGGTGCTACAAATAGCCTATACCGCAGGACAAAACAAAGGTGTGTTTTAGTAAGGCTTTTCAAAATAATGCCGGTAACAGCAATTTTCCTCCCAGACTATTTACTGCATTTGATATATGTACCATATGTTGGGTTGGCCACAAAGTTCCTTTGGTTTTTGAAACTTAATCTATAAGGAAACAACACATTGATGAATAAAGTTGAAGACTTTAATTTTTTCTTTCAAAAACGGATAAAATATATAGAAAATCAGGAAGCATAAAAAAACCCGACCACCACCCATGATTTACTTAAATTGACATTTATAGAATACTTCATCCAAAACAGCAAAGTAGCCACTGTTTTCAAGCACACATGAAATATTTACCAAAAATGACAACTGTTGATGCCATGAAATCATCTGAATAAATTTGAAAGGTTTCAAATCATACAAAGTATGAAAACCAAAATAGTTTTAGATAAGAAATCATAACAGAAAGACATATTTAAATGATCCTGGATAAAAATCCAAAAGTAGAATTGTTATATCAGTTCTATATTTAATTTTCTGAGAAACCGCCATACCGTTCTTAATAGTGACTGCATCAGTTTATTATATTCCCACTAAGAAGGTACAAAGGGTTCCCTTTTCACTACAATCTCACCAGCACTTATTATTTCTTTTCTTTTTAATACTAGTCATTCTAACAGGTGTGAGATGATATCTAACTGTGTTTTTTATCGGCATTTTGCTGATGATTAGTTATGCTAAGCATCTTTTCATATGCTGTTGGCCCTCTATATGTTGTCTATAGAAAAATGTCTACTTAGATCCTATCCATTTTGTTTTACTGGATACTTTGTTTTTTTGCTACTGAGTTTTATAAGTTCTATATATATTTTGGATATTAACCCTTTATCAGGTATGTAATTTTCAAATATTCCTCCCATTTAGTAGGCTGTCCTCTCATTTTGTTGATGGTTTCCTTTGATGTATAGAGGTTTTTTGTTTGATATAGTCCCACTTGTTTATTTTTCTTTTGTTGCCTTTGCTTTTGAAGTCAAATTTAAAAAATCATAATGAAATATGACTATATACCTGTTAGACTGGCTAAAATTACAAAAATCAGATGTTGGTGAGTACAGAGATACTAAAGCTCTTATATACTGTTGGTAGAAAAGAAAAACTTATCATTTTGCAAAAAAGTCTGGCATTTTCTTAAACTGTTAAAGATATACCTACCATATGGTCAAACCATTCCTCTTCTACATGTTTATCCAACAGAAATAAAAATATATGTCCATATAAAGATTTATATATGAACACTCAAAGCACCTTGATTTGTAATAGCCAAAAACTGGAAACAACCCAAATTGTCCATCCACAAGTGAATGCATGTACAAACTGTAGTATACTTGCACAACGGAATACCACACAGAAGTACACATTACAATATGGATGATTCTAAATACAATCATGCTGCATGAAAGGCAAACAAGAATCCATAATACATGCTCTATCATCCAATCTGTACACAGTTCCAGGAAAAGTAAACTAGCTCAAAGTGACAAAAAGCTTGTCAGAATTTGCCTGGGAAAGGAGAAAGGAGACGGCAGGGAGAGGAATTATAAAAGGGTACATGGAAACTTCTGCTGATGACAAGTATATTCACTGATCTTCACTGCTGTGATGCTTTCATGGTGTGCATATATATCAAAACCTAACAAAACTGTGCATATTAATTATGTTCAGGTTATTGTATACCAATTATACTCTAGTAAAAAAAAAACGGTTCAAAAAAAATCTCAGCGAGGACTTCTTTCAAATCCCTCCTCCCCAGTGAAGATGCCACTCACCATGGCCCTGAGTGTTCCCACATATGCTTGCAGGGTATGTCAACAAGGAGAGGCCCTAGTTGCTCTTTATCCAGGCCATTTATCTGTAGTAAGGAGCCTTGAAAGATGAAGTAACTTCATCAGCACACAAACAGCAGGCTTGCTTACTGCTTACAGCAAAATTGGCAGATTCTCCCAGCTTAAGGGAGACAAACTCACGGCATACTTACCACTGAACTGCGTCTCCCTGTGAGACCTGGAGGTGTGGGAAGCCAACAAACAAAGAGGCCAATGCTCACGCAGCTTGGTATGCTGTGAGTAATAAAGTCCTTCTGCTCTGACCCAGGAGTCTCACGTCTTCTGACAATATCCAGAGCACTTTGGCAGGCTACCCTTTCTAAGTAGGGTAAATATCTCAGATCTTTCACAGTTCTTGAGCTCCTCAAAGCTAAATCATATTCCTTTCATTACAGGAATGTGCTTTTTGCCTTCCCATTTACCACAATGTCCAATTTTATTTATGTAACGTATGTTTCCCATACTGGACTATAAACTCGATGAGAAAAGGACAACACTTGTTTTCTTCAATGCATATGTGGTACTCAACACAGTGCTTGACATAGCAGAAATTAAGTTAGTATCTCTTAATGACAGAATAAATTAAGTTTTGCTTTTCAATGGACAGTATGCTGACTTTGACAGAAATCTTATCTATGCGGAACAATCCACTGTTGAGGGTTTCAGAAAGACAAACTTTGACTATATTATCTCAGTAAATGTGTCTGACTCATCGATTCTAAGTTACTTAAATACATTTAAAGTTTACAAATAAATAGTGTGTGGTAATTCCTGAAGTTAAATTCTACTTTACTTTCTTTTATAAGTAGGTTTAAAATATTCACATCAATTACCTATAAACTTGATTACAATAAATTATCTATTTGATAAATGTCTGTAGAACTTAACTGCATATCTTAATAATCTAACAAATCATTTACAGATAGAAAATGACAGGTTACTAATTCCCAGTTACTAAGTAATTCATTACTCAGATCATGCCTTCATATGAGCAATTGAGCAATATTGCTCAATTCTTTTTGAGCAATAACTAGTGACTCCAACATAGACACTAACATGGAGAGGAAACTCATCTTTATTTCAGTACCTTGTTTTATGAAGATTTCTTCATAGCAATGAACACTCTAAGAAATTATTTATTAGTTTGTGTTGACTGTCTATGTTCCCTCTTCAGAATGCAAGTTTAATGAGACAAGGATGCTATTTGCTTTGTCTCTGTATTTCCTTTACCTAGAATAACACCAGGCATTGAATTACTGAATGAACAAACTGAAAAAAGAATGAAGAAGGACCTACGTATGGAATTAAATCTTTTCCCTAGAGTCTAATAGCCTAGACTTCATTACCTCACTCCTCCTAGACCCCCTGGTTTATCCCAGAGCTGCCGCTCTCACAGATCCTGGCCTTAGTCTTGAGTGGCCGGGCTAAATCTCAGCCTGTGTGTCCGACTCTGCCAGCACATCTTCCTGTGTGAAGACGCAACACCTCATCTCTCAGCCATTGACTGGAGTCCTGACCAAAAAAGGGCATCACTCCTGAAAACTCCCATCAATCTCCAGACAACCAAATCCTAGTCAGTGCTGAAATCTGGAAGGTAGGCTAATCGACTCAACAAGTATTTACTGATCATTTACTATATGACAAATGCTGTTGCAAATGGTGCATATGCAGTAGTGAACAAAAGAAGCAAAGTTCCTACCCATGAGAAGCTTAGGCTCCAATGAAGGAGAAAGACAGTAAACAAATTAGAATGTAACATAATATCAAGGTTAGTGAATAGTGGTGATGTTGTTCAGTTGTCCAGTCATGTCCGACTCTGCAGCCCCATGGACTGCGGCATGCCAGGCCTTCCTGTCCTTCATCATCTCCCAAAGCTTGCCCAAGTTCATGTCCACTGCATTGGTGATGCCATCCAGCCATCTCATCCTCTGATGCCTCCTTTTCCTTCTGCCCTGGATCTTTCCCAGCACCACAGACTTTTCCAATGAGTCGGCTATTCACATCAGATGATCAAAATACTGGCACTTCGGCTTCAGCATCAGTCGTTCCAACAAGTATTCAGGACTGACTTCCCTTAAGATTGACTGGTTTCATCACCTTTCGGTCCAAGGGACTCTTAGGAGTCTTCTCCAGCACCACAGTTTGAAGGCATCTATTTTTTGGCATTCTGCCTTCTTCATGGTCCAGCTTTCATAACCGTACGTGACACTGAGAAGACCATAGCCTTGACTATATGGATCTCGGTCAGCGGAGTAATGTCTCTGCTTTTCAACATACTGTCTAGGTCTGTCATCGCTTTCTTGCTAAGAAGCAACAGTCTTCTGATTTCATGGTTGCAGTCACTGTCAATGGTGATTTTGGAGCCCAAGAAAAGGAAATCTGTCACTACTTTCATCTTTTTCCCTTCTATTTCCCATGCAGTAATGGGGCCGGATGCCATGATCTTAGTTTTTTAAATATTTAGTTTTAAGCTGGCTCTTTTACTCTCCCCCTTCACCCTCAACAAGAGGCTCTTTAGTTTCTCTTCACTTTCTGCCATTAGAGTGGTATCATCGGTGTATCTGAGGTTGCTGATGTTTCTCCTGCCTATTCTGATTCCAGCTTGTAACTCATCCAGCTCGGCATTTCTTATAATGTGCTCACGTACAGATTAAACAAACAAGGTGACAGCAGACAGCCCTGTCATACTCCTCTCTCAATCTTGAACCAGTCAGTTGTTCCATACAGGGTTCTAACTGTTGTTTCTTAACCCACATACAGGTTTCTCAGGAGACAGGTATTGGTCTGGTATTGCCATCTCTTTAAGAACTTTCCACAGTTTGTTATGATTCACACAGTCAAAGGCTTTAGCCTTTGTAGTCAATGAAACATAAGTAGATGCTTTTGTGGAATTCCCTTGCTTTCTATATGATCAAGTGAATATTGGCAATTTGATCTATGGTTCCTATGCCTTTTCTAAACTCAACTTGGACATTTGGAAGTCCTTGGTTCACATAAATCTGATGCTGAGCAAGCAAGATTTTA